AATTTGTTATAGACAACTTGGCAACGTAGCCTAGCAAATACGCGTGCATGTAGTGCCTCAAATTAATTTAATCGCAGAAACGACTGATTTTACTAGGACACTAGCGCCATCACGCAGGTTTATATTTTCGCCGCCGGACGGTTCTTCTAGAGACGTTAGTCTATAATATTCTTTGCTAGGTAGTCGAAAAAAATTCTAACATCACTTTTAAAATGGCGATTTCAAAAAGTTAAAAAATCTCAGTTTTTGTCCTGGAAATTTTTTCAAATCTTGACAAGGTTAGGAATAATGGCCAATATCTTCAAGGAAATTTGAACAAATGAAAACAAATTATATATAGTTGGAAAGAGCATTAAATTCTCTATAAATCCATGCTAAATTGGTTCTGATAACTTGAATACTTTCTGGGCAATTGGATCTCAAATTTAACTTTTAGTCCAAATTTTATCAAAAATTTCAAACTCGATTTTCTCAAAAACCATTAGAGCTAGCGATTTTAACTAAATACAATTTTAAACCCCTTGTTAAGAGTTATATTTCCTGGAAATTTTAATTCAAAATCTATAATAGATTTTAAGATATCCACGATCAAATATTTTGAAATAAAAATCTGAAGGGGTATCCCTTTGAAAAATTCGAAATTTTTATTGTTCATATTTATTGAATTTTGACTTTTTTAATCGATAGAGCGGGTCTAAATTGGTCGAAAAAAACTCTAACGTCATTACAAAATCTTGATTTCAACACAGAGAAAAATTTAAAAGAAAATCTCATATTTTAGGTTTAAATTTTTTTTGAATCCTGACAAGGTTAGGAGCGATTGCCAATATTTCTATTAAATTTTGAGCAAATCAAAATAAATTATATATGGTTGAAAAGAGCATCAAATTCTCTATAAATAAGTCCCAAATTGAGTTTGATAACTCAAATACTTTTCGAGCAATTGAGTTTCAAAGTTGGATTTTAGTTAAAATTTAGTCAAAAACCTCAAACTCGAGTTTCTCAATAACCGTAAATGCCAGCGACTTCAACTAAATACCATTTTGAAACCCTCATCAAGGGCTACAATCTTAAAAAATATTGATCCAAAATCTTTAACAGATTTCGATAAAATTAGCTTTAAAAATTTTGAAATTAAAATCCAGAGGGGTTGTTAACTCCTTAAAATATGTACACAGATTTTATATCTTTATTGATTTTGTGGGATTTTAAGGATTTTAAAAATATTTACATGATTTTACAGGATGTTGAGTAATTTTAGAGCATTTTAGGGAAGTTAGAAGGGTTCTTAGAGATCCTAAAGGATTTTTAGAAATTTTTGGGGATTCCAAAGGATTTTTGGAAATTTTAAAGGATTTTTTTTTAAAAAGTAACATTGATGATTTAAGGAAGTTTTGTTGGATTTTTAAAGATTTTCAGGGATTTAAAGTAGATCTTATACAAGTTTTTCTGGGATTTTGACCAACTTGTACACAGATTTTGACCAATCAACCACACCGAGGTTTAGTTAACTCCATAAAAAAATGAACACATATTTTAAATCTTCATGGATTTTGTAGGATTTTCAAAATCTTCACACAATCTTACAGTAGTTCAAAAGATTTTAGATTTTCAAAATATTAGGTAATTAAGGATTTTTAAGATTTTAGAGATTCTAAATTTTAGAAATTCTAAATTCAAATGACAAATTTGAATAGAAAAACCCAAAGTCCTAGAAATTTTACTATAAGATTTCAAATTACTTTTTCGAATCTCACTATAAGATTCCATGAAATTTTACTATAAAATTCAATGACAAAAACTCCTCGGAATTACAGTATAAGATTTCATGAAATTTTTCAAAATTTCACTAAAATTTTATGTAATTCGACAAAAATTACTCTAAAATTTAATTCAATTTTTCGAAATTCCGCCGAAAATTCTCGTGATTCCATGGGAATTTTGTTTAATTCCAAGGGAATTCTTCAGATTCCATGTAATTTCAGTAAAATTCCACAATAAAATTTCAAAGAATTCCATGTAATTTGATCAGAATTCCTTGGAATTTTACTCGACATTTCATCGAAATTTTATGCAAGTCGACACAAAGTGAAATTATAATAATTATGTATGTAATTTGATGAAAATTCTGCAAATATTTCATGATTTTTTATTTTTTTCGAAATTTTCCAAAATACTATAGAAATTCCAAAGTAGGTACATAATTTTTTATTTTTTTTTGAAATTCCCTAAAACTTCACCACTAGAAGAGAATATCCTGGAATTCCACAAAATTTCCAAAAAATTCTTCGGAATTTCACTGACATTTCATGTACATAGTTTCTTAAAAATTCTTCAGAATTTCACTAAAATTCCACGTTATTATTCGAAAATTTCTCAAAATTCCAATGAAATTTCAATTATTTTTCAAAATTTCAAGAATTTTTCGAAATTTCACTGAAATATTTTTTCAATAGTCAGGAATTCCTGGGAATATTAATGAAACTTGATAAAAATATATTGAAATTTAATGTCATTACATGGAAATTTTTTTAAATTTTATTGAAATTCTATTTGTGAAATTTTTTAAACTTTTACGTAAATTCAGTAATTCGATGAGAATTTTTCGGAATTCCATTAAAATTCAATGTTTTCAACTACGAATTTTTCGAAATAAAAATAAAACTTTATGTAATTACATTAGGATTTTTCGGAATTTCACTGGAATTTCATATAAAACGACAAGAATTGTTCAAAATTTCATGTAATTCTCTGACAATTCCATGCAATTGCATCGGAGCTCCATATAAAGTCGACGAAAATTTTTCAGAATTTATATAATTTGTTGAAACTTTCTTGAAATTCTTTTTGTAATTTAACAAGCACTGAAATTTAATGTTGGGAATTTCGGTAGAATTCCATGTTATTGTTTAGAATTTCTTCATGCAACTCATTAATTCAATCGAGATTCCACTGAAATTTTTTGAAAATTTCATGTTATTTGAGAGAATTTGATGTAAATTCTATAAAAATTCCGGAAAAATTTTACATGTAATTTCTTTTTTTAAATAATATAGGGTAATTCTACTAAAATTCCTCAAAATTCCAGTAAATTATGGAATTCTTAGAGACTTTAATAGATTTTTAGGGATTCCAATGGATTTTTGGGAATTTCAAAGGAAATATTTTTTAGGAATGTTAATTTTATGAATTTTTTTCAGTTTCAATAAAATTGTGTGAGATTTTGTAGGATTTTATACGATTTCAAGAGATTTTGTGGGATTTTATTAATCTTCTGAAAATTTTAAAGATTTTTAGGGATTTTAAGTAGATTTTCTGAGATTTTGACCAACTTGTACACAAATTTTGAGCAGTTAACCGCCCCTCGGGTTTCACCCTTTGAAAAAAATTGAAATTTTTATTTTTCAGATTTTTTGAATTTTCACTTTTCCAATCGATAGAGCGGATCTAAATTAGTCGAAAAAAACCCTAACATTATTTCCAAATCTCAATTTCAAAAGGGGAAAAAAAAAATAAAACAAGAAAATCTCAATTTTCAGATCTATTTTTTTTTTAAATCGTAACAAGGTTAGGAGCAATTGCCAATACTTCTATTAAATTTTGAGCAAATCAAAATAAATTATATATGATTGGATAGAGCATCAAATTCTCTATAAATCAGTGCTAGATTGAGCTCAATAGCTCAAATACTTTTTGAGCAATTAGACCTCAAAGTTGAATTTTAGTCGAAAAAGTATGAAAAACTTGAAACTAAATTTTTTCAAAAACTGTAAATGCCAACGACCTCAACCAAGTACCATTTTCAAGCCCTCATCAAGGGGTACAATCTCAAAAAAAATTGATCCAAAATCTTTGACGGGTTTCAAGAAAATTGAATTTGAAAATTTTGAAATTAAAATTCAGAGGGGTTTAATAACCCTTTGAAAAAATCGAAATTTTTATTTTTCAGATTTTTTGAATTTTGACTTTTCCAATCAATAGAGAGTATCTAAATTAGTCGAAAAAACTCTGACATCATTACAAAATCTTAATTTCAAAAGGGAAAAAAAATCCAAAAAAAATCTCAATTTTCAGATCTAATTTTTTTTTGAATCGTGACAAGGTTAGGAGCAATTGCCAATACTTCCATTGAATTTTGAGCAAATCAAAATAAATTATATATGGTTGGAAAGAGCATCAAATTCTCTATAAATTAGTGCTAGATTGAGTTTGATAACGCAAATACTTTTAGAGCAATTGAGCCTCAAAGTTGGATTTTAGTTAAAATTTAGTAAAAAACTTCAAATTCGATTTTCTCAAAAACCGTAAATGCCAACGACATCAACTAAGTACCATTTTGAAGTCCATATTAGAAAATTAAATTTGAAAATTTTGAAATAAAAAACCCAAATTCGAGCCCCAATGATTGGGTACATTCAGGCGGTCTCAGCGGTTAAGCTCAGCTACTCAGCAGGGACTCTATTGTCGAAACCCAGAAATAACGTTCTCATAAGAACAATTGCTCTGTCATTGTCAATCTTATGCCGGATGACAAAGACAGAACTTTCGTTCCAATAAGAACGCTGTTTTTTGGTTTCGAGAATAAAGTTCCTCCTGAGAGGCTGAGCTAAGCCGCTGGGACCGCCTGAATGTACCCACTGACACAATATTTGTTATAAGTTGTAGTTGGCAACACTGTTTGACAAGGGACAAAGTAGGCTTTGAAAAATTTTAATATGGCGCCCTGTAATACCGACATTGCAATACATACATGTTTCCAAAGCCTACTTGGTTTGATATAAACCCGTAAGACAAGAATTTTCCTGAAAAAACAACTTTCAAGAATTCTGGTGATTTTTTTTTTTTTTTAAATCTGGTGATTGTTCATTCCAATTTCTGGTGAATTTAATTATTTTGACCTGGCAACAGTGTTGCATGTTGACCTGACAAACCCCAAATAACATCATTAAAGTTATCAGGCAACCTATCTCTTCTAAAAAAACTTTTTGCAGATTACTTACCATTTGCTCATTAAATGTCTATGAGGTGCAGATTTGAAAACATAACCCGTATATAGTCTAACATTTTCCTCTAACTCAAACTCCAAATCCCACAAGGCACGTCTTTGTCCAATCAGCCCAAAAGGTTCTTGTAAATATTTAGGATAATTAGTAGGAAATCTCAAAAACCTCAAAACATTTTTAGTTGAAATATAAAAATCATCATCCATAAACATATAGAATTTTGCGTTGGGGCAATATTTTACAGCCCATTCAAATCCCGACATCGTTTTATAAGTATTATTATAATATGAGTCTGTATAATTAGCTTGAACAATGTCGTTGAATCTTTGTGATTCTTCATTGATTGATATTTGCAAGTTGGCAACGTTTTGAAGGCCTATAAGGAATACGGTGCGGATTTCTACGTCGGAAAATCTTCGTTGGAAGCCCCACGAGCTTCTAATAGCCAAACGCCTGTGGAAATTTTGTGGTGCTGATTTTACTAGGTAAATTATACGCAAATCCGTCAGGTCTTTGCATTTGGTATCACAATTTTTGTAATAGTAGAAATTATAGGAATTTATCGGAGAGACTTCAGGTGTTTGATTATGCTTTAATTTTTCTATTAGAGGTTCTAAATCGCCATCGTAAGGATAGCGGAATTCATCGTAGAAGTCTTTTTCAAAAGGATGATGAAAAACTCCCAATAGTTGAAGGAAAACAAGCAAAAATACAGCAAAGAGAATTACCTTTAGCTTTTTAATTGGAACAGTATACATTTTTATCACATTTTTCCTCGAGTCTATTTGTAGGACTTCCTTTAATTAGATTTTCCGAGGGTTGATTACATTTTTGTTATGAAGGCATTACAAAGTGAGGTTAGGATTAGGGGAGGGCTCAAAATATACATGGATGATGGTGCATATCGATACAAATTTGTCAAATCGATATTGTATCGATAAAGATCTCACTATAACTAAAACATTCGTGAACAGAGAGCTGTGAAATTTAAAATTTGAATAACTGGGATTCTGAAACACGATAAATAGAATTCTATTCACATAAAATGAATATTTATTGTGAGTCTGTTGGATTTCTAAAAAAACTTTCGACAATGTCGATATATTAGAATAAACGCATCGATTTAAAAAAAATTCTTTACAGGATTAACTTGCACTGATTCTGCACTAGTTATTCTGTTTCAAAAACTACTTGCACTAATTGTACTTTCTGCACTAAATTTAGTGAATGCTGTTCTACATTATTTGCACTCACTGCAATGCGTTCTTTTTACCATATGATTTACCTACTCAGATAACCTCATCTCACTTCATCTCAAAATGAGATAAAACAAACCGTAGAAAGAACACGCCTAAAGCCTAGTACTCATAACTGCGAAATTTGCTATTTTTTGACATTGCTTCGACAATTTGACGTTTGATCTACGCATAAAACGTCAAATTGTCGACGTGATATCAAAAAAGTGCGAATTTCGCGGTTATGAGTACTAGGCTTAATACAGTATAGGAACTTGATAAATATAACTCGACCTTAATTTTTTAAATATCAATAATAATCACTTCATTGTAATTTCATAGAGCTCTGTATATGAAACGCGTTTCAGCAGTTGTCAAAGGTCAATACGCCGACTGGAATTAATGTTATCAGCGATCTACTTTACCGACCAACAGATGTTTGACGTTTAAACTCTCTTGTCATCAAGTAGGCCATGCAATCAAATTTCAGAAAATGGTGCCTTCCATTCTTTTATCGATTTTCGTCGGTCCTTTTCTAATCATTAATGTTGAATAAAAGACAATATTGAGTTATCTTTTGAAAATGGACATTCAATTATAAAATGCTCTGTATACGGAACACGTATCAGCAGTTGTCAAATGTCAATACGCCAACTGGAATTAATGTTGTCAGCGTACTACTTTACCGACCGACAGATTTTTGACGTTTAAACTTTGTGACACAATCCTTTATATACCGTGCGTTCGTTATTTTGGTCTGAGTTCTCCGAGCTTGACTTTACCGTTCGTTTATTTAAAAAGTGTACTCGGTGCAGCCTCATTCGCGTTCGTTTATTAAAATTTCCGGTACTTTTATACAGCTTTCAACTGCTCCGTTCGCTCGCTGGTCACGTGATTACGGCTCCGCTCAGCTCGCTCTACACTTTGAGCAAAATACCGAACGCAAGGCAAGTAGGCCATGCATTTACCAAATCAAATTTCAAAAAATGGTGCCTTCTTTCATCCATTTTCGTCGGTCTTTTTTCTAATCATTAATGTTGAAAAAAGACAGTATGTATTTAGTTTTCTTTTTAAAATGGACATTCAATTAGAAAAGACTAGTATTTGTATGTCTTTTTCAAAACCTTACTGTGACGGGTATCTTTCTCTCTCATACCCACTCTGTTAGGTTTGATTTATTAAAGGATAACTATTATAGTTTTACTTCAACCTCAAATATATATATTTATTTCAGAAAGTGCAATAAGTTCAATATCAGAGTAATTGGTGCAAAGTTGGTGCAATTAGAACAGCATTCACTAAATTTAGTGCAGAAAGTACTGGTGCAAGTAGTTTTCGAAACAGAATTAGTGTAGAATCAGTGCAAGTCGATTCTGATAAAGATTTTTTAGAAATCCAACAGACTCTTTGTGTGTAAATAGAATTCTATTTATCGTGTTACAGAATTCCAGTAGTCCCGTTAACTTTTGAAATCGATTCCCATTAAAATTGCACATTTTATCGATTCCAGGAACTTGACAAATTATTATCGATGCGGATTTTTTACATATTTAAAAATCGATTCTAACTAAATTCGCAGTTGTATTTCCTCAAATCACGATAAATAGAATTCTATTGAATTGGGAATCATTAGAACATTAAAAGCTGGGTTCGGCTATTCAGCGCGGAGATGGAGTGGAGTAAGAACAGAGCTAATGGAGTCAACCCTAATACGGTAAAAAGCAATACCCGAACGGCTGGAGTGTGAATGGAGTCACTCGGAGTGCACGGAGTGAGCAAGCCGAACCCACCTAAAATTAGAAATCTTCTTGCACTTAGGGCGGGTTTTATAAAACTATTTTGACAGATAGCAAAAAGTTAACTTGTGGAAATACTATGGGAAGTAACGTCATTCCAGAACATACTTTTAAAATAATTTTATAATACCCACCCTTAGTGCAAAGTTGGAATAGTTAAAGTAGAATTATGCCCACTATCAATATGAAATTTCTTTTTGAGAATTTGGCTGAGTTCGACTTTACACTCTGTAAACTCTGAGCGTGCTCGAAACGATAAAATCTTGTTCGTTTCAGCTCTCAGAGTAGAGTGTTCTCTTTTGCGTATGACGTCAGGATATCCATGCTCATATAGTTCCGCTCCGTGGAGTGCAAAGCCCGAACTCAGCCTTTGTAGAAAGTTGTGCTCTAAGGAACGGGGGTAAGGTAAATATCGGAGATAATCTCAAAATGAGATTTGAGAAAGAACGACACATCTCCTTTAAGTAAGTGAAGTGAGATGAGATTAGGTGAAATCCTCGGTAGAAAGAACACAACTATAGGCAATTTTTCGCGAGGATATTCAAGCATAATCTGATTATGCTGGGCTATGTGAGATATGTGTCAATAGTGTCATAATTCCCTCAATGTAATCCCCCAACTCACAGCCTATTAAATTTTGGGCTTGTGAGTGACGTCACTATCACTCAAGGATAATAAACACTAGAAGGATTACTTATCGGCCTCGTTTTTGGTGATCGCCGCCATATTGGTGTATCACCATTGCCAATGTCATCAACCAAGTCAATTCTGTGCACATCTGTAAGCAAATCTATAAGCCTATAGTCGCCTATAGACAATTCACAATTTTGCACTTCCTGTAGATTACATACTTCATACTATCTCATAGGATCGTAATTTCGTAAATATTTATGATCGGGTGTTTGGCAATCTATGGGTTTATAGAAATTCATAGATTTTGTTACAGGTGTGCACAGAATTGACCCGTCACAGGTCAATTCTGTCAATAAGTCGTCAGTTGTTTGCGCCAGCGGTCGTAGCTAGGGATTTAAATTAATGATGAAAAAATATTACTTAATTTTGATTAACTTTAGACAAATAGGAAGATGCAAACGAGATTTAAAGAATAATTGTTTTAGATTTTAGAATGGTAACTAATGTAGTAAAACCAAGTATGCATAAAGCAAAAACCTGCGAAATTTTAACCTGTGATGCAAATAGCCTACGTAAGGCGAGAAACGTCTTGCTGCCTACGTCACAACCGGTGATTTGGCGTGGTGGATTTGTTCTACACAGGCCTTAAGAGGATAGGCTATCATGTAGTAGTAGTGTGTATAACCCTTGACTATCAGCAGCTTATAGTGATGACGTCAGCCGCAGACCTCGATCTTGGCTTGGGATACAGGATTCAGGCTGTGTTAGGAGTTCATTTTTTCGTCGATTTTAAATGTAGAAAAGGTGATTTTTCGGTCTGTTCTCACAGAAGAAATTTACTGTTCTTGATCCTCGAGTAACCAAAATTTTATGGGGAGGGAGTTAGGGGAGTTTGACACAATTGACACATCACATATAATCCACAGCATATTCGATTATGCTTGATCATTCTCGCGAAAAATTATTGTCTTTGACGCGAATAAAGATAGAGTTAAAGTTCGTTTCAGAAAGGCTTGTACTTACGTCATCGATGACATCATAGCTTAAAAAAAAAGATTTGTCGTAGATTAAATCCAGTAACGTGTTCCATTATTAATACGCGTGACTATAAATTGGAAAAAATCGATAAATGAAATTGTTTATTATCTCTTTTCAATATTTACTTAAAATATGAAAAAGATAGTATACAGACCGTACCAAACTACTACTAGACACATAGGAGGCCTTTTCGAAAACGGTAATCCGATTAACCGGACCACTCAGCATGCACATTTTAAATAAGTTAAACACGTGACAACTAACAAACTGTCCAGAATTTTCATCTTCATGCTCCTAGAACTATTTTGGGATCTCAGCTATTGAAAGTAATAGTCGTATTCACATTACACCGTCACGCTATCATCTGAGATATGGATTTCTCGAGGAGAAAGCTGCTTTCGGAAATGTAAATCCTGGATCGAGTAGATTGATATCAGCTGATCGCGGTTTAGCTCGTTTTCAGAGTAGATTAGTCAGCGTTTCCTCCGAACGATTGGGATCGACGACCACCCCAAACACAACAAATTACCTTGACAAAGCGGAAATAAAACAATATAAATCAATGAACTATAACAAAAAACTGGAATGCTAACACATAAGGACGAACTTGAAGCCTAGTGCGGCTGCTGCGGAGGGGATACCTGTTTTTGTCGCACTCACTATGTTAAATGGCGAAAATTGCTTCCAACACGTATTCCAATTGATGAAACCTGTGAAGGGAAATATGACAAAACTTTCGAAAACGTTATATGTCAGCGAGAAACAGAAAAAGACAACATTCCCCCTTGTGGCATCTGTCTTTCATGGCTTCATTTTTTCGGCAGATATGGCAATGTGTGCGCATTCCAGTTTTTAGCTATAGTTCATTGATATAAATAAATACATAACCAAAAACATCAAACAGCTGATAGATTAATTTTCTACCCACGTCAAGAGCAGGGTTAACAAGATCACAAACATATGAGAAAACCGAGTCAACAAGATTACTTACCGAACGCGAGTACTCGACTTCGGATCATTTTACGAACGATGAGTTTACTAATCCGATCAATCGGATCATAATTTCCGAAAGCGGCTTATCTGACGTTTCGTTGACGGTACGGTGACGTGACGGTTGCACTTTAGGCACAAATTTTAATAACATGCAGGGATGATCAATGATTCTCCGTGACGATCCTGCAGTGAAATGGGTACCTATCAGTCAACTGGTCCGATTGAAGCCTATGTGTTTAGTAGCCTGGTCTTGTCTGTGTCAGTTAACCAATGACATCTTAACACAGATAGAAAACGCATCTCATAAACTAATGTTTGCTGTGATGTGATGACAAGACCCCCCATTGGCCAGGAGAGGTGAGGGTCATGGTGGGGATGCATCAGAGGTGTAAACAAGACCCGTCATTCATTTATCCAAAATAATGGAGAAATGTTCCTGGGTGCATCTTGTTTATCTATCTATCTGCTTCTAATTCATATCATATAAGGGATAGACCGGAGGTAGACCGCTTTCCTATCCTGTCTATGTCAATTTTTGTATCTAAAATCATTTGACACTGTCGCCAGTCAAGTGTCAATAATTCAAATTCAAAAATGGGCGTCGATTATTACGGAGTCCTACAAATAAGCCGCACAAGCACCGATTTGGAAATCAAAAAGGCGTAAGCATAAAGTATCGACTTATTATTATCAATAAATGATTACAGTTATAGGACTTTAGCTTTGGAATTCAATGCGGAAAGATCGAAAGAACCGAATTCATTTCAGGTGTTCTCTCTGGTAGGTGAAGCATATGAAGTACTTAGCGATCCTTTGCGCAGGGCGGTTTTCGATCAGTACGGCGAAGAGGGGCTGAAACGTGGAGTGCCCGGACCTGCGGGGTATATTCCTGGGTACCACTATCACGGAGACGCTATGCAAACTTATAAGTAAGAATGAGTACTTTTCTTACAAAACTTAATTTCCTATAAATCTTCAGAGACTTCTTCGGAACTCGTTCGCCCTACGCTGATCTTTTAGACGTTCTAAAAGATCCTCCGAAGCTGTGCAAAGCACTGAGCGGCATTAAAATTTGCACCAAACAATCCCCAATAAGACACCCTTTACACTTGACGTTGCACGAAGTTTTTTTCGGTGGAGTAAAAAAAATGAAAATCCACCGATTGGTGTTTGTAGACGAGGAGAAAAACGTAACCGAAGTGCGAGAGAAAATTTTAACCATTCCAATTAAACCTGGAATTAGAGCGGGAACGGAAATAGTTTTTGCTAATGAGGGAGATCAGGATGCTGCGCATATACCTGGTAACAATTAAAATTTGTTGAAGTACTTAATCAAAAAAACAAATTTTAAGCTGATGTAATTTTTGTCACCGAAGACAGACCTCATGATACATTCATTAGAAATAACGACAACCTTATTTGTACCTCCACAATAAGTTTAGAAGAGGCCTTAATTGGAACCATCATTACTATACATACAATCGATCATAGAACCATTCGAGTACCAATAACTGATGTAATTTGGTTGGTAAATAATTTTTTTGAATTTTAAATCAAAATTATTACAAATCTTCCAGTCCTGCTTATGAAAAAATAATCGAAAACGAAGGTCTACCGATTCTAGAAAACTATCGGGAAAAAGGTGATCTTATTTTAAAATTTAATATAGTTTTTCCAAATTATTTACCAAGAGCAAGCAAAAACATCTTGCAAACTGCCTTTAAAGTTTCAAAATTTGGAGGAGAAGAAGGCAGAAGTTTGCACGAGTCTATCAACAAAATAATTTTGGCTGACAAGATTCTTAGAGTTGATCCTGTTGAGCAATTGCCGCCAATATAAACACTTGTTTTTATTAAATAAAATGTATTCATTAATTAAGTGATTACTTGCTATCTTTTTCTTTCTCCTTTTTGAGTTTTACGTTTCTCCTTCTTGTCTTCTCTAAGTTGTTTTTGTTTCTCTCTATCCTCCTTGTCTTTTTCTTTTTTCTTCTGACTGTCCAACCGATTTTGTTCGCGTTTTTGTTTTTCGGCTTCGGCTACGAGTTGTACGTTTATGTTTTTTTCTAGATTATTGTCTTTAGGCTCAGCAGGAGCTACGGCTCCGTTTTCGTCCTCCTCTTCTGAGTCAGTCATCTGACTGTACTGAGATAAAATAGCTTCTCTGATTTTTTTCTCTTCGTCGGTGTATTGTTTTTGTTTGGTGGTGGCCAACGATTGAGATTCCAGAAGTTTGGCGAGTTTTTCGTTAATTTCTTCGGTGGTGGCTCGCTGAGGTGGCTCGTCTTTGGGTTTCAGACTTTGCCATTTGGTTAATATTTCGGTGGAGATTTTCGATATGTCGCCCTGAAACAAACAACTAGCTCAGAATAAGAGCTATTTAATATGTAAAATGAAAATTTTAAACCTAATCATCTTGGTAAGCTTTGTATAACAATCCACCTATATTTCTATCTCTTTTTACATGCAAAAGATAGATAGAGACAATTATTAGGCTGTCAGCTGTCAACTTGTTTCAGTCTGGGAAAATGGCGGTGTGTGCCTCGTGTTCGTTTTTCAGAAAATTTTAAGAGTTTTCCTTGCGAAAAAAGTGCGTTAAAATGTTCGTTGAAGTGCAGAGGGTCAAGGTAAAAACGTAGAAGACATTTTTGAGACAATTTTCAGTGTGGAAATACAACATAAGTAACACGTGTTATTTCTGATCTTAACCTAACTTTTGACGGGATGTCACTATGCAAATGTAAAGTAAAATGTAAGAAGGCGCGGGAAATTCTAAAATTTAAATGCTACATACAAGAGTTATATTTGAATGGAGAAAATCCCAAATGCATAAACAACAAAAAGAAAATCATTATTAATTAATGAGGAAAATCGAAATTTACTCAATAAGGTAGGTATGTGTTTTCTTTTACAAAATATCCCATAAGAATTGGTTTCCACATGAAATCAAAAGCCTATTTTTAGTTGTTTGTATATAGTTTCTCGATAAAATACTAAAAATAAAGGCTACTTGAAGATTACAAAGACATTTGAAACTTTGAATTGTCTCCACATAGATCCTGACTTACCTACATAAGAGAATACATGTTGCTCATGAATAATTGCTCAGATCTTCGTTGAAATTTGAGCTACAACTATATATCATTGGAAAGAGCATTAAATTCTCTTCAAAACTGAGTTAAATTGGTTCCAATTGCTCGAGGGGTTCCTGAGCTACAAACCTTCAAAATTGGACTTTAGTCAAAATTCTGTCCAAAACTTGAAACTCAATTTTCTCATAAACTATAAAAGCCAGCGATTTCAGCTAAATACCGTCTGAGAGCCTTTATCAAGAGCTACAAACTCCAAAAATTTTGTCTCGATTCCGCTTTCGGTTATCAAAATATCGAGCTTTGAAGATTTGAAAATAGAAATCCAAAGGAGGTAACCTTAGAAAAAAGTGCAAAAAATTGAAAATTTTTATTTTTGAGTTTTTATCAATTTTGATTTCAGACATCGATAAGGCGGATACAAATTAGTCATAAACAAGTCTTACATCAGTTAAATTTGAAAATTTCGACGAGAAAAAAAAATCCAAAAGGAAATCTTATTTTTGGCTTTGGAATTTTTTTAAAATCTTGACACGCTCATGAATAATTGCTCAGATCTTTAATGACATTTGAGCAAAATAACTACAATTATATATCATTGAAAAGAGCATTAAATTCTCTTCAGAACTGTGCTAAATTGGTTCCAATTGCTCAAGGGGTTCCTGAGCTATTAACCTCCAAAGTTGGACTTTAGTCAAAATTCTGTCCAAAACTTGAAACTTGAAACTTAATTTTCTCATAAACTATAAACGCTAGCGATTTCAGCTGAATGACACCTGAAAGCCCTTATCAAGAGCTACGAACTCTGAAAATTTTGTCTCGATTTGCCTAAGGTCAAATTGATACCAGGGTATTTGCCCATCACTAAATACATAAGGTAGGAATACATGAGAATACAAAGGAATACATAAGAAATTGATCGAAAAACATCCAAAATTTTAAAATGTAGAATTTACAGGACTGAAAAATTCAAAAATTCTAATAAAGCTGAAAAAACTAGAGACTCAAGACTGTCAAGTCTCTACTAGATTTAGGCCCGCTTTATTCACCTTCTGATAAACTGTCAGGTAATACAATGTGACGAATAAAAGGACAATCTGTCATCCTATTGGTGGGCAGTTATCCACCGACTAATATGGCTTTGATTATTATGGAAAACACATGGTTACATTTAGAAATAACACTCTGGGTGTAAAAGTGACCCTAGAGTAACTCTGGTCGTGTTCGTTTTTGTCATCTCCGAAATTTTGACAGGCACGTGACTGGATCAGATAGTTTCAATTTACAAATCACGTGCCTGTACCAAAATTTCGGAGCAAATCGACGAAAACGAACACAGCTTCTAAAAATAAATTAACAGGTGCTTACTTGGAGCGTTACGCTGGAATCGTTCAGAAATCGAGAGTTGACGTGTCCAGAGTGCGCCCAAATTACCCCACTCTCGAGTGATTATCACCAGATTGAAATGGAAGAGTCAAAGACATCTTTTATTACGCCATATGGCCACTACGAGTACCTTAAGGATCCCATTTGGCTTATGTAATGCGCCTGCAATATTTCAGCGAACTATAAATACAGTTTGAGGCAATTTGAGGCATCGAAAGGCCATCATTGCATACATGGATGATATTTTGTTTCCAAACAAGGATTTGGATTGTCCAATCTAAGAGAGGGTGCTTCGAGCTCACGGTCTTACATCACGTTTGTGAAAATGTCATTTTTTTTTCAAAGAAATGATCGAATATTGAGGTCATGAAGTTTCTAAAGAGTCAGTGCAGCTAGGAAAAGGAAAAACTGAAGCAGTTAGTAATTTTCCAGTCCCCTCAGATGTTTGATCTGTTTGTCAGTTTTTGGGTCTTGGTGGTTATTTCAGGAAGTACGTGAGGAACTTTGCTACAGTCGCTAGGCCTCTAACCTTTCTGACCAAAAAACATGCTAAATTTGATTGGAATATTAAACAAAGTACAGTTTCCAATACTTTTTTAAGGGCTGATTTATCAATAGAGGGATAAGTAAGGAATAACCCTGGGTCAAAGTTGTAACAAGTATTTATCCATTCATGGTTAACTGCTAACTCGAGAGTTATTCCAGGAAAAAGTTAACCCGCGCTCTCACGGTAAGTTAGCGTATTTGACCCTAGGTTAACCTTCTAATTTGTTGGCTGCATTTTTTTTGAAATGTGGTGGTTTTGGCTTAAATTCTGAAATTCTGGAGAGATGGAGGATCTAGATTTCAGTGATGATTTTCAAGATGTTCTAGAATTTCTAAAACATGAGCAGTGCCACTACCACATAACGTTGTGGTCAAATCCCTAATCCCTTTGCTGTCTTTGACGATTTTGATGACGTCCAAAAGAAACAATTTTATTTATTCTAGAACAAATCGAGTGTAGACTCGAATGCCCAAAAGACAGGTACGCAAGTACCTATGCTTGTGGTTTTTTTTTTTTAGAAATTTTCTCTTAAAAAAAAAACATATTTTACATAGAATAAAGTGAGCTGGCAACGTTGCATAAGTAATGCCAACCTTCGAAGAACCCGAGAGTTTACCAACCCTGGGTTAAAGAAGCTTGAATAAACACTTTTCGACTTGCCTAGGTAGTTAGCCCATAGTTAGAGTTGACCCAGGGTCAGCAAACTCTGCGAGTTATCCCATATAGAAAGAAACTGTATCAAAAAATATGGTGTGGAATGAAGATAGATACAAAAAAATACCTATTTCATGAAAAAACTGTATCAAGAAGTACAGGGAGGCATAAAGATAGATATAAAGAAATACCTATTACATAAAGAAAATGTATCAAGAAATACAGGGTGAAATGAAGATAGGTATAAAGAAGTTCGTTAAGAAACTGTATCAAATAATACAGGGTGGAATAACGAAGGCTAGACCGAGACTGATTATAAACTTTTAGCAGAATCTAATTGAAAACTTCGAATTATCTCCAATCAAGAAAGTTTCATGAGTTAACAATTTCGGAAGTTCCTACTGCAACTGCGTGGAACTAAATATTACCTATATCTCAATGCAAAAACTACCTAACTGAAAAATTTGAAGATCCTTGAAATCTCACTATGCAAGATTCCCAAATTCAAGACCCAAGACCAATTATTCTAGATCTAGGACCTGGGAAAATTCTACAGTAATTTAAAAATCTGAAGAATTTACAGATTCTGAGGCTTTCAATTTAAAGACTTTCTATAAACCCTTTATAAAAGCTAAGAGATCATTAGTTATTAGGACTAAATGACTTATCTAAGCTGAGACTCAAAGCCTTTGAACATTCTACAAAGACTCAAAAATATTTAAAGAATCTGGCTCTTGATAGGTATAGGACTCTTCAGAGTCCAAAAATTTTGAAAATTTAAAAAATGTCCTGAGATTCATTATTTATCACCAAACACTCTACAGGGGTATCTTCAAGGGGTAAACCACCATCTCAGAATTTGTGCAAATAATTCCTCAAAGGGGAATTTTTTTACGCATAATTCCTCAAAATTCCTGCAAATTCTCCACAAATTTCTCCAAATACCCCACAAATTCCTCTAAATTCCCTGCAAATTCCTCCCAAAATCCCCATAATTGCTCGTGATCTATTTTTATTTCGCTTAGTTGAAATTCAAGAGCAGTTTATCAAGTAGGATCCAATGCAAGGTTATGTTAGGTTAGGAATCTTGGAAATCAACCTACAATAACTGAATTAATTAAAAATATAGTCTCACGCATTTCAAAGTTCTCTTAGAAAACTAGTGAAGGGGAAATTTTGAAGCTTTTTGTGTGTAAAGAAAAAGGTGAGAAGCGTATTTTCCGAAAATTTTAAATTTTTCCAGTGGAAAATAACCACATGAAGAATCTTGGAAATCAACCTACAATAACTGAATTGAATAAAAATTTTGTCTCGCACAATTCAAAGTTTCCCTAGAAAACTAATGGAGGTAAAATTTTGAAACTTTTTGCATGTAAAGAGGAAGGGAAGAAGCTTATTTTCCCAAAATTTGAAACTTTTTCAGTGAAAAATAGCAACATGAAAAATCTTGGAAATCAACTTACAAAAACTGAAATAATTGTTAATACAGTCTCACACAATTCAAAGTTTTCCTGGAAACCTAGTGAAGAGAAAATTTTGAAACTTTTTGCATGTAAAGAGGAAGGTGAGAAACTCAATTTCCCAAAATTTCAAATTTTTCAAGTGGAAAATAACAACATGAAAAATCTTGGAAATCAACTTACAAAAACTAAAATAATTAATACAGTCTC